TTATATTATTATATATTATTATATATATATATATATATATATATATATATATATATATATATATATATATTATTATATATTATTATATATATATTATATATTATTATTATATATTATTATATATATATATATATATATATAATATATATATATATATATATATATATATATATATATATATATATATATATATTTAACTCACGAACTCAATCATATATTAACTTTAACCTATTTCAAATTATAAAAATTCTTATTATGTACCTAAAATACCCATCATGTACCTGTCCTTTTCACTTATGCGAATTGCAAGCGTCTACTCATAATAAAATTCCTTATTATTGTCATGTTCACCTTTAATTATTTAACAACATTATTATTACTCAATTCTTTACTATTAAATGATTCAAATAAGTTAAAATTACCTTGTTTCTGAGTCATCCATCTCATTTCTATTCAGTGACTGGTTATTCTTATAGGAGTAGGGGAAGACTATTTATTATAAACATATATAATCCTGTTTCTCAATATTATATGTGGATCTAGTTTAAGTAATATTAACTAATTTATTTCAAATTTTGATTTTTTCAATTGAACTAGCGTAAAACATATTCATATTATCCACGTCTGTATGATTATTTACTGAGTTTTTTAAGTTTTTAGTTATGTATATTGCTTCCTTAATTCTACGTTTATTCGTATTTCTTTCATTCTGTAGGATTTTGGGATTTTTGAAATTAAATTCATGTTTAGTTTGCATATTATGTTGAGAGCGTCCAGTAGCTTATTTAATTTTTGTGTTTTTTGAATTACAATTTTGTTTATGCTGTTTAAGCCTTTTTTCAAACCATTGGGATGTCTGTCCAAAATATGCTTTGTTGCTGCAATTTTTACTATTTATTTTATAAATAATATTCGTTAATTTATCAATAGGTACTTTACCTTTAGTTTTCGAATAAATTGTATCTAATTTATTAATTGGTTTGCTTGCAAATTTAATTTCATTTACATCGTATTGTTTAAACGTTCTTTCAATTTTATCAGTTAAGTTTCTAATATATGAGACGCTAAAATATTTTTTAGGTTGTTGTTTGTTTCCATTACATTTTTCAATTTGTGTCTTAATGTCATGTATATCATTCATGGAAGGTTTTTGTTTTACTGCATTTTCAGTTTTAAAATAATTTGTTATTAAATTCGGTTCTTTATTAATTTTAATATTTTGCTTCACTTTCTCGCTCCTATCATCGCTAATATCAATAGTCTGTTTGTTACTACTGTCATTTATAATTAAATTTCTATTTTTATACCATAATTTATTTATTAATCGAATGGGGTACCAATTTTCTAATAGAATTTGATATATTTGTGCTTTGATTTCTTTTATATGATTTTGATCTGTTATTAATTTTGTCTTATTTATTAAATTTTTAGCTGTTTTAATTATTATATGTTTTTTGTGGTTACTGTGCCAATTTAGGATTCTATCAATGATTATTGTTTTTTTGCACCATGCCGTGCTAAGATCGCCACTTTCGTTTCTGTGAGTATACATATCAAGATATCTTATTTTGTTGTTATTCTCAATTTCCATTGTGAATTTTAGTTTATCTGATATATCATTTAGTTTATCAAGAAAATTAACAGATTCATTTTTATTTATTATTGCAAGTATATCGTCAACGTATTTTATAATAAGCTTCGGTTTTTTTTCCCATTTAATTATAGCATTATCTATTAGATTGTTCAGATATATGCCCGAAAGATTGATTGACATACATCCGCCCATCGGTAGACCATTTTTCATTTTATAATAATTATTATTATAGGGGAAATGTTGCGAAACATCGTCGTTGTGATGAGTAGTCATTAAGTGACAACATTTTTTAAAAATTGGTGTAAATATGGCTAATAATAAATTAACTTGAAAATAAATATATATATATATATAATATTGTTAGAGTACATCCATTAAGCTTGTTATGTATGTAGGCATTATAATCTTTCAGACGAGCTCCTATTTCTTTGGTCCCTCCATTACAACTATACTCAGCTACGATCTCTCATTTCTCCTTTAGTTAATTATCATATTCTTTCATATTTTATATTTAATTATTTTTTATATGAGTTTAATGTGAAGTGGTTAATTATTTCAAATAAATTAAAGGTACTTTAGAGGAAGAAGAAATATTGAAAAATAGCCATTTAAGTCCTGTTAGAGAACATCAATAAGAATAAAATCTATATTATATTAAAAATTGCTTAATTTTACACTTATATAATGAATTAATCAAAATCGTTAGAGCCATTTTCAAGAAAATAGTAAAAATGTGTATCACCATTGATATTAAGTGGCACTTCCGGTTTGCCGATTTTAACGAAAAAGTTGCTGTAACATCTCAGGCATACACAAACACAACACCCATAATACACAAACCTTAAATATGCAATTTCAGTTTTGTATGAGTTTTCATTTTTGAGCAAGACTGTTAACACACACAGACCATCTTGTAGGACTTAGTTATTTGGAATCAGGGGACACAAAACGTATATTTCCATTGAAAATTGCAATTAGAAAATTTTCATGATCTTAATACATAGGTAAGTGAAAGTAAAAATGGAAGAACCATTTAAAAAAAATAAACCAATCAACCCACACAATCTATGAATTTTTTACTTACACTTACCTATATTTGTAATGTATAGTAAGGGAAAGTATTGCGATCCTGAAAATTTCCGAATCTGAGTTATCAGCGGAAAAAATACACGTTTTTAGGTACCCTGAGTCCAAATAACCAAGTTCCGCAAAATGGTCTGTGTGTATGTTAGCAGTCTAGCTCAAAAATGAAAAGTCATACGAAACTGATATTACCTATTTAAGATAAATTTATGCCTTAGATGTGACAGCAACTTTTTCCTTAAAATCGGCTAACCGGAAGTGCCACTTTATATCAACGCTGAAACACACTTTTACAATTTTCTTAAAAACGGCTCAAACAAACTTGATTAAACTCTGTGTATCATTGTATAACGATGTGATCTTCAATATCAATCAGGTCTTATCCCTATTGATGCCACTTTATAGGGCTTAAATGTCCAATGTTCATATACATCTTAATCTAAAGTATATTTAATATGGTTTATTTTAAATAATTAATCATCTCACATTATTTAGAATTATGAAAAAATGATGAATATAACTTTTGAAATAATTTGATAATTGAATAAAGGAGAAAGAAATAAAAATGCTTATCCAGGTCAAAAATGAATCTCCGGAAATACTATGACAAGTATTGACTATACTTCTGAACGTATAATATATCTTTGGAAATTGGAAAGCGGATAATTAAAAAAATATTTATATAATACAGAAAGTTGTAGAAGGTAAGGGAGAGTGATTGAAAAAATATAAATAATAATTTCTAAAAACTAACATTATTTAATGTAAATCAGGTGTTTTCAAAGAAATTAAATGAAATTTTCTTACAAAATGCATACTTTTAAATTTTTTTTTAAGTTTAAAAAAGTATTTAAAACCCACGGATTTAAGGCAATGACATTCTTTAAGATACAATTTCATTGTACTTGTATGAAAGAAGTGAAAACTAAAAATATTTCATGGATACGTTTATAACCTTAAATATATTTACTGTAGTTTAATAACTCTAGATCTGATATTATACTTAAATAATTAGGTATCTATTGTCCGTTTATTCCGAAAAACATTTTAGAAAATTAAATTAGTGAATAATTTGATCAATTTTATCTTTGCGATATTCCAACAGAATCCACTTACAATCACTACGACAACTTTTGATCTGTCTATGAGAGACAATGCAAATTTCTTAATTCCGTTTTAGTATACTTTGCGATGGAAAATAATAGTTTAATAACTAATAGTCGTACAATCCATAACCAACGGATCATACAATCTATAATCAACAGATTGTACAACCCATAATCAACCAAATAGAAACAATAGGGCATTTGTTATTTTAATGGTATTTATGATTTGTTAGCTGTAAGCTTTTAGCTTTAGCTCGGTTAAAAAGGCAATTCAAAAATTTTATAATAGCCCGACATGGCCAGAAAATAATATCTATTCAAAGTTGAGTGGTAAGTAAAAGTTGTTTGTTGCGAGCAACAGATTTTTTTCTTAGCAGTTAGAGAACACTAAAAAATAAACTCAAATATCAAGGTTAACTTAATTATAAGGGAGTTAAATATTTTTTAAATGAAAATATTATAAGGAAAACAAAAGAAAACATTTATTGGCAAGCTGCAATTTTATTATTCATTTATTAAAATTTCACAGATGAGGAATAAAATGTTTGCCTCTGGTTGAACTTTCTTATCAAAGTTAACAACTAAATATACATTCAAAAGGGCACCATGAAAAAGAAAAATCAATAACTAATACTAAACTAAAAAGAAATGTAGGATATTCAAATAGTAAACAAACAATTATGATTTGGGAATGTCAGACTTAATTTAAACAAATAAATATAATAATACTAAAACACATGAAGTTATATTAAAGTTAACTTCATATAAATTTAGTAATATTTTTTTTTTTTTTTTTATACAAATATGTTTATGATTTTAAGCGAAACAAGTGAGCATATAAAAAAATATATCCCACTAGAAACTTACAATATAAACATAATTTTATACATAAAGTTTTTCCAACTTAAGAGGAAAACAGTTAAATAAATTTTATATAAACATTGGATAATGTGCATCAACAACATGAAGCAAATAATACAAGGATATATATACAACTATATATACAAGAACCAAACAACTCAGCTAATATGGATCATTGAAGTGACAAACACAACAGCTAGTATGAAATCAAGGAAATACCTAATCTTATAAATCTGTAATTACAACACACACACATACAACACATTATATATAAATATATATATATATATATATATATATATATAAACTTTTATAGAATAAATAAACATGGGCTTTACTTACAATTTCAAATTGTTTTGTTTCTGAATATTTTTAAAAAAATTAAATATACGTCTAAAATAAAGAAGATAAATTATTGATTTATCTGCCTTTTTCAATATTTGTTTATTGTAAATCGGAAAGGTAAAGTACTATTAATAGACCAAATCATATAATCTTCCTCATTATAAAACAGAATAAAGAGAATTTGAAAAAATATCCTCCTCCTAGGTAATGATGTAATCTACACTTAACATGTACCATATATAAATTTCCAAATTTTAATTTAATATAACCTTTCATACAGCTTAAATAACTGTGCTCAACATTCACCTGACACAACAAACACTCAGACTTCTCAGGAATTCACATAATACAGCGCAAGGTAAAACAGTCTCATTAGCTTTCATCCATCCCAATAACAATATTCGGTTATTCCATCTTAAAATAAACTATACATAATTATAATAGGATTCTAAATCACAATCACAAGCGATAGATTTTTTAAACAAAAATCAGTTACATATTTTTTCTTTTTAATTTAAAACGGATAAAAAGAAATCTGGAAAGAAAAACTTTGAGACAAAAGAAATAAAATTACACAATAAACATTGATCTAAAGCAGCCGCTACATCATAAAAAATAAAAAAATTCTTTCAATAAAAAGGAAAATCATGACTAGTATTTAAGTGATTTTATTAACACTGTGCTAGTGTATGTGTGTCCGCATTAACACACACTCTTTACACTCAATAAACCTGACTGAAAACAAAATATCAGAAAATATTTATTATATACTAGACCACAGCTTTATATTTAGAATGCTGTAAAAGGTTATCTTTTTAAATTGTAATGAAGATAAAGGCGACTCTTTGCAAATATTACAGAATTCCATAACATTTAAAAGAACTATTCACATTTTAAAAGCCACACAAATAAGGGCTGCCAGTTGCTTTTATTAAACACATGGACATTTTAGAGATTCTTATTAAACATACATAATAAAACAAATGTACCAAAGCAAACAGTTTAATCACGACTTGCGCCTATGATTGTAAGTATATACGAGAACAAATTGATAATATCAAGGTAAAGATTTAAAGCGGCGAAAATGTACTCCTCAGGTGATATAGCATATTTATGTTTTCCTCCCAGCATTATCTGTGTGTCGTAGATTATATAAACTGAAAACAGCAAGGCTCCAAAAGATGCATAGATTAGAGTGATGGTTTTTCCATGCCAGAAAATAGTTATTATACCAAATATCATCAATATAAGAGCAGCAACAAACAGGACGCCTCCCATCATTGTGAAATCTATTTTTGTTTGAAAAGCAAACAGAGTCAGCCCAAGGGTGACAACCGTGCAAATTAAAACTGCCAGAAATACCTGGAAAAAACAAAACAATCTGTTACATAATAATGAATAAAATACAATAATAATCAAAATAATTCATAACTTATAACTTAAAATTAATAAATATTGGAATCTTTTTTTATGCATCAAATAAATCTTTTATTCTTTATAAAATAATCCTATAGGAGAAAAATTCCTAGAAGAAATTCATTATTCTACTGTCACTTTTATAGCTTTTTAGAAAACAGTCCAAGATTTTGAGAACAATATTAACATACAATATTGGCAATTATAAACAATATTGAGTATTAGTTGGTGGGTGCTGAACAACTTTAGACTGTAAAGAACAAAACTTTCTTGGAGGAACATCTTGTCTCCTGGAGTAGTAATAACTTTTATAAGAATACAAAGCCAACGGAATTGCTAAAAATCACAGAATTGATATGCCTACGAGTGAATGTCTTGCTAAAGAACCAACACCTCATTCTACTCACTTCTCCCACTGAGTATCTTGCTAATGAAGAAAGGGAGAACAGAATACAGTGAATGATTTGAGGTATAAGGATGGTCTTAAATGTATGACAAAGTCTTTGCTTGCTTGATCTTCATGCCTATAATGGTCTCTCTCTGAATATTTAATAAGAGGAAACAAAGTGAAAGGTATACATAAATGAAGTTTGAAAGGCGATTAAATAAATTTAAAGGAATACTGACGGTGTTCTCACTGCGAAAACACTCTTGCTTTAAATATCAAGAATCAAATAAGGCACATATGGCCTTATTTTGAAGAGAATAAGCCTCCTTCGACGAGAGTAAAGCCCTTGTAATAAAAATATTAATTTTTAATCAGTACACAAAATAGTGATTTCCACAAAATAGCAAATCTTTCTTTAAACCTAAAGAGGATTTGCGAGGTTAACCTCAAAATTAATGATAATAATTTAAGTAAAAAATATTGGCTTACACTTTAAATTAAGGACCTCCTCTAATTATTAATTTACAACAGTTATTTCAATAGTCAATAAATCATTACAGAAATCATTCATTGATATTCCTATCAAAATTAAAATATAAGAAAATAAAAATATTATATTCAACATAAAAATTAAAATGTGTTGATATTATCAAGATGTGGTAAGCAACAGTATGAGAGTGAACACTGAAAAAACCAAAGCCATCCTCAGTACGAATTTTCCTCCCTTGCCATATACCATATTCACACGTAATCTACCTTAATGGTCTACTTACTTATTTCCATACCTCTCTTAGAATCCTCAAAATAATTTTAGATCCACAACTATCCTGGAATAATCATATATCCCAAATCACCCAAAAATCTTTTGCAATCTTCAAATGCAATTCCTATGATTATTTAATTCTATGCTTCTAAAAATCTGTCCGTTTCTAGTTTTCTTGATTACTTTCTGCCACTTTGATTATGACAGTCTTGTGTATATGATAGACTGTTTGGAAGTTACGAGAGGTGATTGAAGATACAAATAAATTTCCTCATTAGATTCATTATCTGGATCCATAATCTCTAATTGATACACCAAAGTGTAGTTTTATTCTGTTCTTCAATGGTAATATTTCCTGGGTTTCCATGTTTTCTAATCAATTAGAACTAAAAAGTCTCCTTACATTCTCAATTTATTTACCTTATGTTCCTCAATCTACTCCTTAAACACATGACCAGCCCACAAACTTGTACATTCCTTCTCATAGAACTGGGTCCTTTATTATGTGTGCTACTTAGTTTTGAAATTGCTTACTCAATCCGTATTCGTAAAATATCTCTAACTTCTATTGAACCCCAATTATTTCTCCACTACATCTCTCCAAATGAATAAATAAAGTTTCATTCATTCAAGACAATTTTATATGCCTACTTCTACATTGTTTACTGGTTTAAACATACCGATATCTTTCAGTCAATAAAGTCATTATTTATTTATGATTTTTTTTATTTTATGATTTCATTATTTTATAATTTAAAAATTTAATAACCCTGACATCCATCAATTTAACAGAGTGCTAAAATGAAAAGTGAAAAATAGTTCATACAAATTCTAACAAATTATTGCCCATTAAACAATAACCAATGATAAGTTAATATTGTATAAATTTTACCTCTTCTTTCTTGAATGTAGCTGTTGCACAACCAAGGAGAAAGCTTTCAGCTAAAGTAAAAACAGAGAGAAAAATGAAGTTCATTGGTGCTTTTCGTCTAACTTCTCCACAACATGCCATGGACAAAAGGCAAACGAACATCACAATAAGAGAAATCCACCTAAAAATGTAAAAAATATTGATATTGTCTGCATTGGTCCAATTAAAGTACATAAATATATATATATATATATATATATATATATATATATAAATATATAGATAGATAGAAAAAAAAACTTTATTCTGGGACTAAGTCCCTTCAGAATAACAATAATGTACAAAATAATAGAATATTACTGGCCTAAACGTTTGAAACAATAAATAAAATTGATAAAATAAAATAAAAAGTAAAGAAAACCTTAGGTGCACAAGCTATATACAATACAGATAAAACTATGTACAGAGCATTTAGAATTATGAACAAAACAATTAAAACTATGAACGAATCACTTGAACTATGAACAAAATTATATATAAGGGTTGAACAACATAAACATACACTTTGAGAAATGAAGAACGAAAAGGAGATACAATGTATTCATTTCATAAAAAAAAAAAAAAAAAAAAAAACTTTACTTGAATATATATATAAAAATAAACAGTTAATTATTGTATTGTATTGTATATATATATATATATATATATATATATACAATATATATATATATTTTTTATAGTACAATGAATCAAAAGAGAAAAATTAATTTAATGACAGAAGAACCTTACAAAAGATGTCTACTAAATTTTGTCAATTAAATTTTAACCATTTTTTCTAAACTTTCAGTTAATAAAATATATATGAATTTAATTGCTTTCCTGGATATTTATTAAGACCTTAAATAGGTTTGTTTTGTAAGCGTTAATAAAACTACTTAATTATTCTAATATAGCAATCAAATCAGAACCCTAATTTCTACCTTATCATAATATATCTTATCTTTTTAATATTTGTTTCTTTCAAACATCACATTTAAAATAACCTAATTGGAATTTACTCAATGTCAACTTTAAGTTAAATTTTAATCCATAATAAGCTTCTTCTCTCATATATTAGGGGACTTGAAAGTAATGTCATTTTCTTACATTAAATTCAAACAAATAAATTTTCAAAGTTTTTATTTTTAATAAATGAGGTTATCACCCTCATTATCAACAATTCATTATCAACATTTCCTAATCTGCTGTAAATATTCTTGGATGGTCGACCAAGGTGGGTTGAGACAGTTTGAAAAATCTTAGATTGTCTGACACAGATTTACTTCCACTTCTGCCCTTAGCATATCATTGTCTAACTTTGTTGGACTTCCGATACGCGTTTGAAAAATCAAAATTATCAGATTTCAACTTGGAAAACCACCTTTGGCATTTACGAATGTCTAATGCATTTGGATAAAAATCGCAATTGTTTTTGGTAGCAATCCTTGTGAAAATCAAAAAGTATGCAATGTCAAATATGTACCTCTTGTGGTATTTGGCTGACCATTTCCCCAAATTGCCAAAAAAAAAAAAAAAAATTAATTATTTACAACTAAACAAGTCCCTATAACCTTAGAATGTATTTGCCAAGACTTAGATGTACACATTGAGCTGACAAATTACTAACAAATAGTGACATGCTCCGAAACATTACTTTCCAATCCCCCTAATATTTGAATTTTATGATCTACCAATATATTAATGTAAATATATCTATATATAATCTAGTCTATTTTGATATTTAAAAAATACATTATAAGTCTTTACTATCTCTAGAAAGGTTTAATTGTACTTTTTCGAATCAAATAACTTGCTTGAACCAAGTTCTTTAAACTCCAACATTTAAAAAAGGAAATATTGTGTCAAAACATATTTAATAAAGTTGTTTACTTACCAAAGAGCAGGATGCGCAAAAACATATCTTTTTGTGCCTTCATGGAATGTGAACAAGGCAATGAAAGAAAGAGTCACTGTCAGCTGTACCATCAATATCCCATACACTTTCCTAAAAAAAAAAAATTATAATTAATTATAAAATAAAAATAATTTAAAAAAAAATTAAATTGCTATTGAGAAATATTTTAATAGAATAACAAAAGCAACTGACATTGTAGGGGAAAATAAATAAGAGATAGGAGAAAAATATATAAAATTTAGTAAGCATAAAATAATGCGAGGGTGACCAGCGCAACCTAAGGGAGAACTCTTGAGTGTCAATCACATTCTTTTGATGTGAAATTCAACTTAAAATTAATTAATGACTAAAAAAAAATTCAAATTATTTTTATATCACCATTAAGGTAACAAAAAAAACCAAATTGATCAATGAGGCCTATTTCTGAAATCTAGATATAGAAAACTGGTATCAATGATAGCCTTTGAAAAGAGAATTTTGGTAGAAATTAGTGACTCATTGATGCCAATAAATGCTATTTCGGTCTGAAAATGGTTCATAAAAGTTTATCATTATCCCACTCTACCAAGTGTCAGTTATATAGGACCCTCATCAGATATGTCCTAACTTATGTCTCGGAGTGCTGGATACTCAAAAGTTCAGAGGAAAAGACCCTTCTTAATTTTGAAAGGAAAATCCTTTGCTGCATACTTGGAGTGGTGAAGGTTAACAATTAGAGAAGAACTAACAAATGTCGAGGATTGAGGGCCAGATTTTTGGGTACTTTGATCCATCATCTGTTATTAATGAATATACTTGTTTCACTGATACACAGCAGCCATCCAATGCAAATTATTCAAAATCCAAAAATATTTATTCAATATAACCTGGCTATTCATTTATGAAAACAGCCATTGGCATTACCCACAATCAGACTAATTAAACAAGATTGTAAAACATAATTCTATGAACAAAAAAGAATGAAATTAACTGCATTTGCTGAACAATTGTGCATCACCATTTAGTTCACAAATGTTAATCATATTAGAGAAAATAATACTATACCTAATGAATCCAAGCCGTATTGACTTGTCACTGAAGTCGAATCCATGTGATCCCAGGGGATCTTCCCCATAACTCGTTGAATTGTAACCCTGCATTCCTGCTGTGGGAGGTGGACTGCCACCAAATGAACCTGGGTAGCCTGCTGATGGATAGCCTCCTTGAGGATAACCAGCAGATGGATATCCTCCTTGTGGATAACCTCCTTGAGGGTAACCTGGCTGGGGGTAACCTGGTTGTGGATAACCTGGCTGTGGGTAACCTGGCTGAGGATAACCTGCTTGAGGATAGCCTCCAGGAAGGAAACCTGGTGGAGGTGGAGCTGTACCTGAAAAGTAGTGAATATTTTAAAGTTAGTTACTAATCACAAAATACCAACACAAAAAATGTCTGTGATTTAATAATAATAATAAGCACAAAAGAAGCTTGTTTTTATGTAAAATGTTAAATTTTTATATTGTCTATACACTGGCACACAATAACTACAGAAATTATAACTCCAAAAGTAAAATGGCAAACTAATATATACATATTTATGTATGTAGAGACTTAGACTTAGTCGATCGGACTAAATCCTTGCGATTGCGATGGGAAGGCCACGTCGCTAAGATGAAACCAGAGGAAATCCCATCGAAAGTACTATCGGAGAAGCTATTTGTAGCATGGAAGGTTGGATTCCCTAGGCTCCAATAGGAAGATTGTGTTGCTACCAATGTATTATCGATATTTGGCATTCGCAACTAGAACGCCGCAGTATAAAACAGAGATGACAGGCGGTCAGTGCTGGAGCAGGCCAAAACTCAGCAAGTGGGTCATAGAGCCATGCAATATAATATATATATATTGGTCGTAAAATTCATTCATTAGAGCTAAATAACAGTATACTATTGTCTTATTCCATTCCATTTCAAATCAACTTAATATGTACAAAAGAAAATAGTGCATTAGCTATTGATTTGAACATAAATGGTTATTTTTACCAACTATCAAATGAAGAAAAATCATAACATAAGAAATTAAAAATACATTTCCAAGATGAATTCATTAATAATCTTATTTAAACCAATATGAGGTAATATTTTGTAAGTGAAACATCATAACTTTGATTGAGTTTAAAAAAAAATAATACTGCCTTTTTAAGCAAATGTCATTTAAAAAAATTATTGTTGTTAATAACTATTTCCTCAATAGTTAGCGTTTATGCAACCATTCCGAAACTTTAAATTTGTTAACTTATGAACAATTTTAAAACTAAATTCAACTAAGTTATCATAGACTGATATTAGGTAACCTCAAGGTCATCAGAGGAAACTGGGACACTTCAATTATTTAAACACAAAATGAATCTCATTTCTCTCAATTGAAACTCACTGTGTCATTAAACAAATAAAATAAATAAAAATAACTTTTTTATAGTGATAAAAAAGTAATCAACAGAATGATATGATATGCTAGACTAAATCATTGGGTTCAAAAGATAACGCTATCAATAAATAAAAAAAACTAACAGTTTAAACGAATCTTAAATTATAAACGAAAAAGATACGTCGTCTTTTAAAAATAGTTTTAAATCAATTAAACAATTATGAAATGGGAAAAAAAGCAACAACAAATATAGCATACCCATTAATCAAATATAGAGGCTAATAATAGCCAGACAGTCGTTCGATATAGAAGGTGAAGTAATATGTTGCAAAAGTACCAAGCTATACTGTCCTATATCGAGGAAATACAATATTATTAAGCTGAGGACCGACGTAACCACCTGACTGGCTGAGAAGAAACAACTGACTCACCTGGCCTTCACTCCTACGTGTCAATCGCTAACGACAATTCAACTAAAATGGTGATCAACTTTGTTATTAATCATATCCTCTGGATAAACCCATTCATTTACGACTACAACTTTTAAGGGAAAAAATTAGTGTATATAAAATATAATATTTAGAATTAATTAAATTAGATTAAGCCATTACATAAATCATAATGTAGTCACGATTGCATTATTTTTTAAAATATTATTTTATTTAGTTACGCCTCGGTATACTTGCCAATTTAACTTATATTCATCAAATTACCTCATAATAAACCAGCCCAGTACATGTTAAGAAATTAGATTTATATATATATATATATATATATATATTTTTTTTTTTTTTTTTTTTTTTTTTTTTTTTTGTCGTTCACTCAATTGAATTAAATGTGTTTACAGTATTTCTTTATTTCTTTTTCGTAACATTCATTTATTTTATAGGAAAACCGCACATCACAATTCACTTATTTAGTTGAAACAGCATTTTACGTTAAAAATTGGAAATAAAAGTATTGCTAACAAAATAAATAACATGCGTGAATGTTACAAAAAAAGAAAACAATTAATAAAATATAGAAGTGGTAACATCAACAAGAAAGGATTAAAATAATATAGAATATAATTTTTACTTTCCTACCTATACTAGGTAAGGAAAGTATTGCAATCGGGTCAAATTTCCGACATGCGGTTTTCGACGGATCTATACGTTTCAGTGCTCCTCGAGTCCGAAAACGCATTTTTAGCCATTGGTCTGTCTGTCTGTGCCAAGATTTTCTCGGGAACTACTAAACCGATTTTGCTGCTTCTTTTTTTATTTTGTAGGGTTTTAACTACTGATGCCTGTGACAGAAATTCGGTGCTCCATGCGGAATAAATGAAAAACATATTTTTCTATCAACTGTAGCGCAAAAACGGCTCTAACGATTTTGATGAAACTTTCCTATAATGTTCTAATCATTGTTCTTTCAATCATTGTAAATAGACTAAATTCCCGAAAAAAAATCAGGAAACAAAGTTATAAAGAAAAGAAAAATGTTATGGGACCTAACTCCCTAAGTATACATTATACGGTAAAATTTATAATAAAACTTTTGAATACAAATTTATTGATATTTATAATAAAACTTTGAATTGGTGATAGGAAATTAAATTACCAACAAAACCATATAAAAATCGTTCATTTTGGACAACTATTAACGAAGTTACAGCTTTTCAATTTCCAATGTAAGACGGTTTCATATTCTGGTGTCAGAAAGGGGTGAATGAGGGAATAAAGATGACTAAGTGAAAGTAAGGAAATCTGTTGCCCGCATCACACAATCTTCACTATTTCCTCTGCTTTTAACAGGAATTTAGGGGGCGGGGTGGCCGAATGGGCTAATGCGTGTGCACAGCACCGCGAGTTACCCGGCAATCAGATATATGAAGTTTTGAGAGACAAAAAAGTACGAGTTCGGGTTCCGGTGCCGGAGGGGATTTTAAATTCCCCGCCCTCACCCTCCGGCCCGGGGAAATCCCGTATAGCCTAAACGGCGAGGTAGGGAAGAATAAAAAAAAAAAAAAAAAAAAAAAAAAAAACAGAAATTATTGTTTGGCAATACTAAGCTACGGCAAAAAGTTTTTGATCAGCAATATTAGTAAATATTGAAATGTTTACACTGATCTACCTTAAGCCGGTATACATTGCTTTAGTTTATCAAATAAATCGTACTCAAATCTTATGTTTTATCAATTTTCAGGAAAATGTATCTTGTTCAATTCATTTTTGTTTCTTCATGAACATATGTAAAAACACAAAAACTTTTCTGAAATAGGTAGGAAAGTCGTGTGAGTGGACACACCAGATATTTTTGTTCTTTATTTGCAAAGTACTAAAACTTACAATCTTAATTATATTAATGTTATATATAATTTTGAGATATTATAGTCATAAAAGTTCAAAAAAAAAATAAATAAATAAAAATTGCTATCTTATTCTCTTTCCGGATCTTCAACTCGGCGTCCCATCAAAATACAATACAGCTCATTCCAAAGAGGATGAAATGCTGTAAATTTTCCTCGCTTACAGTATGCAAGTCTGAATTTTAGTTTTTGAAATATTTTAATCCACATGTTAAGAAAATCTACAGTCGCGTCCATATACAATCTTGAATAATAGCTTGTAAGAATGAAAAGCAATAAATTTCCCTCGCTTACAGTATGCAGATCCGATTTTTTGTTTCTTGAATATTTCAATCCAAATACAAAAGTACTAAGTCGACGCGAGCCAACTTAAACCGAATGAGGGATACATAGCCGAGGCTGACGGTTGTCTCATTCATTAGGTGCTAAGCGCGGCTAAATAAATTATAACTTAAAAAAATCAATATTTTATTTTAAAACAAGAATAGCATGAAGTTAGCATGCTAATTTAAGTAGTTTGTATATGGAACGATAACAACTAAAATGTTTCAAAATGACAAATATGACGAAAAAAAATATGGTTTAATTAATGAAATGTGTTGTAGGAATAATGCGATTTATTTAAAACCTGAATCTAATATGATTAATATTAAAAATTAAGGCCCATGTTTAAATGAAAAAGAATATCATGAAGTTGTTTTCACAAAATAAATATTATTTTGGCGAAGGAAGTTTTTCTTAAGAGGCCACCAAAATTAGCATATTGTTTTAGTACTCTAGCATGTATTTTCTTCAAAACTTGTATTATTTTTATAGTTGAACCTGTTTCCACTATGTCAACATTTTACGAACACAATAGGGGCCATTCTAGGTTTTTAAAGAAATGGTTTTAAATCATTTAAATCATTGTAAGCTAGGTAGGTGACAAAAAGGAACTCAAGCTCATGTGCCCTTTGAAGCAAAGCTATTTTGAGTTTGTATGGCATGTGAACGATGTTTAGCCAAAATTTCAATTTAAAATCTCGAAATTTCAGTGGTATATTGATATTTTATATCATATTTTTCTGGTATTTGATTATTGGTCTTATATAATTAAAAAAAATAAGACACATATGGGTACTGATAAACAGAGGTGCCAATCTCCCCCAAGGTCGATGGCGCATGACCTCCCTCCCCCGCCTTTCCTCCTAAGTTATTACATTTCTTCTCTTCTTAAAAACAGTGCAAGCTAAAGTAAATTTTAAATTTTCAAAAATCATATACAATTACACATTTAGTGGTCTGTACTTTGCTTTTTTCTTGTACTCTGGTGGTTTCAAACTTTTCAATCCGAAAATTCATAAGTCCGTCGAAATGTGGCATTCTCAACAATTCAAAACCCCGTCAATATGTGCTCCCCCCCACTAAAATTGCGATGGCGCAACTCGCGCCATAAAAACTCCTGCTGATAAACTGCATCTTTCGACGTTATCACTAAATGAAGTTATTTGATAGTGAATCAGCAACGTCCCCTCCCCTTTTTTTCTAAAAAAAAAATCAAACTCTCTAAAAAAGTGATTACGTTACTCTAGATGTCTTCTCCGGAATCAAGTCTGGAAATCCAAGACTTCCTA